GGCCCACTCACCCATGGGACATAAGATGCATTTCAGTAACTGTCTCATTGCTAGTCCAGCTGATGTCCCTTATCTTTTTCTTTCCTCCTTTCTTTTTCAGATATTTCTTATTTGAATATTGTTTTTTGTTTCCCTAATCTTTGGGGGAAAAGGTATAGTAGAAAAAAGTAAAAATAAGTAAATAAAAATATACACACGTATGAAAATTTTAGGAAAGTAGAGCAATGTCTGCTGACTCCAAAAACTCCAAAAATTTGACTTTTTGGAAATCTCTTAAATCTTGACTAAGAACCGTTTTAATTTATTTTCCCACCTTAAAGTTTAAGGTTCTGGGGGAAAAAAGCTGATGGAGAATTTTTAGTTATTTGGAATCCAATAATGTTCTCTTTTTAATTATGTAAGGACTGAATGCAGAAAGCAACTATTTATAAATGAGAATACCCCCAATGTGCCAACTGACATACACAGAACTTGCTCTGGTGACTAGGTGATATTGTATTAAAAAAAATGAATTGTCTTTAAGTGTAATAAAATGCATTTTCTGTTGTTACCAGCTCTAGATTTATGACCTCAGCTCATTAAGCTTTCTTAAAGAAGTTGTCTGATTAAGTTCTAATCACACTTTTATATAATACAGAGCCAACTATAACCCAAATCCTAGCTTTCATCTGGAAGATGAGATCTATAGGGGACTTAATTCAAAGGTCAGAGACATTATTGGTGATGCTGAAAATAATTTGCCATTTTATATATAGGTTAAAATAATATCTTTTTAAATTTGATTTTTAGAACTAAGTTAAGAACAATTAAATTACTCTGTTATTTTTACTGTTATGAAGGATGTTATGAAGAATGCATGACATTAACAGAAGGCAGAAGAACAAAGGAGAGAGCTTCTGAGAGAGAATATGGGCATCTCCGCAAAAGCAGATACAGTATGTAGACGTGTCTCATCTTTCTGCGGTGCCCAATCATCTGGGTACTCGCTGACACACGGAATTATAATGTCAAAAGAAGAGAGTTTTGCATGTTGTTATTTTTCAATCACCACCATCATCATTATCAATCTATGAGATTCCCTTTCTACTTTGTAGTACATTATATCAGATGAACACAAAAGATCAGTATATCATTAGATAATATTTTCCATTTAATTTTTCCAATGGCCCTAGACTCTTAAATAAGTGAATCTACAGGTGTGACCTTTTAGCTCTTTATTTACAAACTACTCAAATGGTATATGTACAACTGATTCACTTTGCTGTACACCTGAAACTAACACAACATTGTAAATAACTACACTCCAATAAAAAATAAAAGAAAAAAACCCCACAAAACCCCAAAATACTCAAATGAAATGAATCACATGAATAAATCTGTATGCATGTATATCTCAGATGTACTTCTTTTGAATACCAGACAAAAGACACATCACTGTTACTTTCCCCTAAGCCATCATGATTGGTGTTACCATCAGATTCTTATATGCCAAAAAAAGGGCCCAGAGGAGCATTGCTGAAAGTTTTAATGGAATAAAGCCAAAAGGAATATGTTATGAGTTAAACAGATGTTCTAGTTTTGAGAGCAATTTGGACAAAGATAAGTAAAATCTCCAAATAAATCCCAAACAAATACTATTTCCTTACAGCCTACATACACCAAATTATAAACAGGATCTAAGTACTAAGCAAATATCAGTAACAATAATTATCATTACTCTTATTTATTGAAGGCTTACTATTTGATAGGAACTGTGCTAAGTACTTTACATTATCTCATTTAATCCTCAAATCTTTAAGTCATGAATAAAAACTAATAAGATACTCCAATAAAAATTATTTAAAAATTTTTTTTAATTTAAAGATAAATTAATTTAAAAATCCAGATAGACTTGAATTCTGCTTAATTGAAAAACAAAAAACTAATGAACCCCTACTATTAAGTGATGCTTACACTTAATTCTGAGCAGAAAATATAGTCCTAGCTTAGGTTTCAAATACCCAATGTTTGCAGCCCTTACCCTAGGTGCAAATTTTAAACTTACTGGGCTATTTTTTTCATCACTGAATCCCCAGCACCTAGCATGGTACATGACATACAACAGATGCTCAATAAATATTTGTTAATTGAATAAGTGAGTGGACACAATTTAGTCACTGGTTTTCAAAGGAGTAGAAAGGATCCTCACGGAATATGGCAAATGTATTAAGTCTGGTGAAGCCATTGTAGGAAGCTTTTAAAATTAATTAATTAATCAAATTAATTGATTAATCAATATTAATTATTGATCTATTTTTTTAATTACAAAATAATGGCTATATTTCACTGCACTGTACAATATATCCTTGCTGATTATTTATTTTATACATAGTAGTTTCTTTTTTAAACATCTTTATTAAAGTATAATTGCTTTACAATGGTGTGTCAGTTTCTGCTTTATAACAAAGTGAATCAGTTATACATATACATATGTCCCCATATCTCTTCCCTCTTGCGTCTCCCTCCCTCCCTATCCCAGCCCTCTAGGTGGTCACAAAGCACCAAGCTGATCTCTCTGTGCTATGCAGCTGCTTCCCACTAGCTACCTATTTTACGTTTGGTAGTGTATATATGTCCATGCCACTCTCTCACTTTGTCCCAGCTTACACTTCCCCCTCCCCGTGTCCTCAAGTCCATTCTCTAGTAGGTCTAGTAGGTCTGCATCTTTATAAATAAGAGTCAGTCTTTTATTTTCCTCTGAAACCAAATATAGGTGAACTATGTCCTAAGACAATGACAACGACCACAATACATTTCTCTGGGCACAGTGGCGACATATGATTTAGTTGATTTAAATAGGAACAGTTGAACTACCAAAACATTTAGCAGTGTTTTAAGTTGTCAAAAAGTGATTGATTATATTCAACTACAGTTTAATAAAAATTTAAGGGTCTAGGGGTTGGGTGTGGTTGCTCTTAAAAAGTTAAAATTTCCATAAAATCATTTAAAAGTACAACCTAGTAACAGTACTTGCCAAGACAAAAATGTTCCAGTAGCTCGACTTTTTATGCTAGGATCACTTCTGGAACTAGAAACCAGATGTAAAGGTAAATTCTCAATTTCTGACCTTCATCTAAGAGGTCTAGGGAAAGAAGTCAACTGTTCAGCTCTATTAAATCACAGACTGGCTTTGGGTTACTGGCTAACGGCATAGAGGTATACCTATTTTTATCAATACTGCCATGAACAAAGTACTAGTCCTCTAATAAATTCCTACACAACTCCACAACCAGTAATTCTGAACTTGTAGAAACTATGAAAATGTTCATTTTTATTTATTTTCCTCCTTTTATCATAGGAGTCTAGTCCTCTCTAATGACAGCATTCATTTAAGTTGGTATTTATATGCCTGAATGTTTTATATCATCATAATACAATTGCAGTGGTCTTGTGAATTCTCTTAATGCGATTTTATTTGTACTAAAAAAAAATCTCCATTAAAAAGTGGTACTTCACAGTTAGCTACTCTTTCATGAAGTGAAACAGACGGCTCTCTGGAACATTTTCATCCGCATCTTAATCTGTCAAATTTCACTTACCTATCTAAAACAAAAAGGACTTTAAAAGTACCCTTATAGACAACAAAGGTTTTTTTCCCCTAAAGTAAATATGGTTGCCACTTTTTAACTAACAGTACAATGTCAAGTGAGTAATTGTAACACTTGATGATAGAAACTTATAAGTCAAATATCCAATTTTCATCCATCTTTATTTTCTTTCTTGGTGTCAGGAGTAGAAGGAGGTTAGTCAAGAACAGAAACTAAGGCATACACGGCTCAGCTTTGAAACAAATCAAATCAAAAGGTTCTTTTCAACCTAAAATATTGTAAGCTTCAAAATGATTATACATACCTCATAACAAGCCTTAAAAAAATAAGCTCTGATATGGATTTAATGTCAACTCTTCCATAATCTTTTTCATTTAGAAATTCCAGAAACTCCTTCAAATTCTATAAACAAACAATATTCTTTACCATACTGGCAGAAATTTAGGAAGTATTAAATTTACTTACCATACTGGCAGAATTCAGGAAGCTTGCAAGCTACCATTATTCACCCTTATGATATCTGAGATGTAACTCTTCACAACATTAAATGCATCGCTGATTTCTCTAAGCATTTAAAAATGAGCTCTCTCCAACCCTATGACAAGTATCAGCCTACGTAATTTTAAAAGGACATTTCATACAGTTTGTAATTTTTTGTAGTGTAATTGGACCATGTGTATTAAAACACAGTTTAAATAAGAATACCCGCGGAATCCCTAGTTTAATTAATTCATCCCATACCTTTTGGAAGCAGGTAGACATATTAATTATACACAAATAAAATAAATTTAAGCTAATCAAGAAGAGACAGGAAGTTTGTTCTCAAATCTTGAACTCCTGAAAGTAAATTATTACATAATTAGAATTCCTCACATAATTATACCACAACATTGGTTTTCCTACAGGTTTGGGCAATTTGCTGGTTACTGGATAAGATCTTATTTATAAATTGTCAGTTAATCCTATCACATTTACTTTTAGCTCCTAATTGTCCTAAAATGCAAAGAAATCTTAATTGGCGGAAATCTCTTGCTGGCAAAAGGTTTTAACCACTTGCGGGTCAATCAGAACCTAAGGCCTGATGATGGTAATACAAGTCTGTTAAACAAGGGGGAAAGAAATCTCAACAATCAAGATGATACTATTTACTCAATGCAGCAAATTATTTTTTCTTTGGTTAGGTTCTACCTAAATATTTTTCTTCTAACTTTAAACATGGAAGTCACTAGGTCTTTTGAAACCAGGGACCATTCATAAGCCACTAACCACACAAATAACAAGTATCCTATCCCCTTCACTCATGCACAAACACAAGTATGTGAAAATCTGGCCTCTGAGATTTCATTTGACTATGAATTCATTTTTTTAAATTGCAGAGTTTAATACAGTAAGAAGAAAAAGACAAAAATCTACCAACTAGGCTGAGCTGCCATCCTCTCCATGTAGTCTTTGGCCATATCTCGGGCTTCAATGTTCTCAGGATACAGCACGCAGAACATGGCCAAGGCCCCCAAGTTGTTGCCATAAATTTCATTCCAGCGGGCGCTGTACTCCTTGGGATCCCAGGGAGGGAGGTACTCCAAGGGGCTGGACAGCATGATGTGCACGGCCTCAGTGAGCCGGGCGGCAATGTGCTCGTGGGAGCTGGCAGCTCTGAGCTGGAGCTTGGCCACCTCCGCCCTGGAGAAGTACAGCATTGGATGGCTGTCATAGTTGGCATTCGTAAAGGGAATCATGACTTCTGGGTTCTCGTCGGTGACGTAGGCTGACACAAAGCAAAACAAATATATGAAAAACACACTGGGAGCTCCCCGTGTGTGAGTCCTCATCGTGGCCTCAGATCTCCAAATCTCCAAGGCAGCCAAACCATCTTCGAAAGATCCTACAGGACGGAAAAGAGAAGAGGAGGATATGTCAACCAGGGGACCATGGTGAAGTAGGAAATACGTGGTAGGCAGCGACCTTGCTTACTATGAAAATTAAGCTTATGAATTTTTAGACTTTTCAAAAATACATCAAAAATTTGAGCTAGGAAGAAACTAAAACCTAATCATTTAATTAACTCATTAATTAATTACACATGATACAACAGACATATTCATTGTGGAAAACAGAAACTTTGGACTTGGGAAAACAGTATAATATCTGCTCAAGTAGAGAAGAAAACCTCTTGTTGGCATTCTTCTCACGTTTTATCACACAAAAAACGTTTTGATTTTATGGTATTTTTGGACATTAATATGAAAACCACAGTAACCAAAAGCTTGTGGTGAAATATCGTCTGGGAATCAGGATGGACGTTAGGGGGAAAAAAAAAAAAAAAAAAGAAAATCCTGTCTTAATACAGCCTCCTCCACTCTAAGTTCTCCCCTCTACTCAGCATTCTCCATCCTGAACCAGGGATTAGGATCAATACATCTATATGAATGTGAGCAGACAAAATATTATGAGTAAGGCTAAAGATTCTCTTTGTGTCAGCAGAAGGTGGGGACTGCGACAACAAAAGCAGGGTAAACATCTGCTAAGCCCATGTGTTCCCTGGGCTGACATCGGCAGGAGTGCAGGGCATGATCAGACAGGGCGCTGCAGGGACTAGAGACTGACATGCCTTCATTCAGAAAATAAAATTCCAGAATTAAAAGGCTGAACGAACACGTGTGCATTTTCCCCTTATTATTTGAAACTACTGTCTACTTTTTCATTTTGCATTTGGGATTTTGGTGTCATTCAGTAAGTCAGACATTTAAACCAAGCTCACATATTTTCTTAACGGCTTAACTTTATTGAAAATCCTTTTTTTCAGTAGCAGCTTTGCTCACAGGTTAGCAAGAACGTCTTTCAAAGTAGGAACGTTAAAAAAAAAAAAAAGAAAGAAAGAAAATCCTCAGCCTGGTCCATGTCCCACATCTGGGATAAAGCAGGCATAAAATCCCCCAGAGGAAAGTCAGGGAATTCTTAAAATTCCTCAGAGGGGAAAGGTTATAGAAAGCAGACCAGAAAAAGACAGTTTTATGTAAATAATGAACAGTAGTTTTCAATTATTCAACGGAGAAACTGGTGGAGAAAAATCAACCTCTCCAGCTGAACACAAACTATTTTTCCAAGGAAAATCTGCCTCATCACATTCAGAAGAAAGAAAACTAAGGATTTAACACACATTGGAGAACAATCCATATTCTCAACTTGGTCTGTCTCCAAGAGGAAGGCAACATGGCATCACTTGTAGATGCTGCCATGAACTCTAGGATTCTTTGTATTTCTGAACGTGCTTTAGACTATATATATAAAACTCAGTGGCAGTGATTTTGTGAAGCAGTTTAGATTTACTTCAAGAGTAGAACCTGTAATGAATAAAAACAACGAATATAGCCATGCTAAAGAAAATACACAAAATAGAAATAACTCTTGGACTCCACCCATATTGTGTCTAGCACCCAAATCTTCAAGGCAACTGGCTGCCTCCTTCAAGGCCAGAGAGCTGACCCAGCGTCTTCTGTGGTTATGTCTGAGGAGGGGTGTGGTCTCTGGCAACACAGAGACATGGCTGAGTCTGAAGTAATGCTCAGTCCCCACTGCCCCTACCCTGAGGTGTATTTTTTGCTCTTTTCAGAGAAAAAGTGTGCTAATTTTTTTTTAAAGCCTGCATATATTAAATCCCCAAAGGTCTACAACTGGATGCAGCCATCAACGCAATTAGCACCGTTGGGGGGGGGGGGGTGTTGTAGGCAGCCAGACTGAGGATGGCTTGGAAGTTTCTCCTTTAACTGACCTCTACGTGCATAGAATAGAACTGAAGATCTTCTCTCAACTACTGGGTTTTTGTTTGTTTGTTTGCTTGTTTGTTTTCCTTGTTTAAAAGGCTTTTAACATAAAGCAAATAATTTTTTGCAACACTGCCCAAACTTTTCATTATCAAATTGTCTGAGGCTTCTTAACGATTATCATTTCACAACAATATCTCCATTTTCACCTTCTTTAAATGAACTGGCCTAACAGATGTACCATTAAAACAGAGCTTCACTCTCAACATTTTTAAGTTTGTATTCAAACAGTATGAAGAAAACAGGATCAGGGAATTCAGCCATAAAAGTGAATGGATTACTATACATGCTACATCATGGATGCAACTAAGTGAAAGAAGACACGAAAGGCCACATATCGTATGGTTCCATTTCTACGAAATGTCCAGCAGTGGCAAATCCATAGACACAGAACATATTATACATTAGTGGTTGCCAGGGGTTTGGAAGAGAGGGACATAGGGAATGACTGCTTAAAATGGGCGTAGGTTTCCTTTTGGGGTGATGAAAATGTTTTGCGTCAACTACTGGCTTTTAAATGTGTAGCTCAAGTTCTAGGTGGGTAAGGGGGTGGCGTGGGTTATGGATGGATGGGCTGGAAGCTATGTGGAAACTAGAAACTCCAGCTCAGATTCTGCACACACATTCCCTAAAAGGGGCTAAGCCTGATTTGTTTTATTCTCTTTCTCCTGCCTTATGCATATCACCCTCCTATCCAGGTCTGGAGTCACTGAGATAGAGACAGCTGCTCCACAGTGACCCTCCCAATCCAGGACTGACGCAAGCTATGATCACAGCCACTTCTGCCACATTGCTTCCGGTTACATAGGACATGCCCGAGGGTATTTAAACAAGAAGCGCTGTTCCTGAAGCACAGACCTCATTAAGATGTTGTTTTGGGAACCATGCCACCTCAATATGCCAACTGTTACCAAAGGTTCCCTAGTTATTGCTTCATATTCACGTGAGGGTGTCGGGGCAGCAAGGCCTGAGTTACCGCACATTTAAAACATTCTTGTTGGAATACATGTGGGCCAGTGCAGAACCCACAGAAATTCTGCTGAACAATCATCTATGAAGAATGAGAAGAGAAGACCGTGGCCCTCGCGGTGGCACAAACTGTGCAGCCTTCCTCATAGCATACACACAACAAGCCCAGCCTCCACTCTCTGTAAGTTATTAATGCCTTTGCTGAGCTACCTGAAGAGTTAACATCTCCTGTATTTGGCGGGTACCTGTACCACATCGGACTGTTTCAGCTGTTTATGCCACATCTCACAGAAGAGGGGACCACAGCTTCCTCTTTGCATCACAGGGATTAGCAGTGTGTGCCTGGCATATAAAAGGCAGCTCACAGACGCTGGCTGAACTTGTGGGCCTAGGAGCTGATAGAGTGGATCTCATTATTGAAATGAGCAAGGAGAAACCTTATTCCTCCTTATTTGAAGCCAAAGCAAGTTTAGAATTTTTGAGAAAAAGTTTCTGCCAGGAAACGAACAGAGAAAAACACTCACGAGGCCTAGAAACTTCTGTAGCCTAAAACATATTCACTAGGTTTTGTTTGTTTTTCTTTTTTAACATCTTTATTGGAATATAATTGCTTTACAACAGTGTGTTAGTTTTAGCTTTATAACAAAGTGAATCAGATATACATATACATATATTCCCACGTCCCCTCCCTCTTGCGTCTCCCTCCCACCCTCCCTATCCCACCCCTCTAGGTGGTCACAGAGCACCGAGCTGATCTCCCTGTGCTATGCGGCTGCTTTCCACTAGCTATTTATTTCATATTTGGTAGTATATATAAGTCCATGCCACTCCCTCACTGCGTCCCAGCTTATCCTTCCCCCTCCCTGTGTCCTCAAGTCCATTCTCTATGTCTGCGTCTTTATTCCTGTCCTGCCCCTAGGTTCCTCAGAACCATTTTTTTTTTTTTTTTTTTTAGATTCCATATAGATGTGTTAGCATAAGGTATTTGTTTTTCCCTTTCTGACTTACTTCACTCTATGACAGACTCTAGGTCCATCCACCTCACTACAAATAACTCAATTTTGTTTCTTTCTATGGCTGAGTAATATTCCATTGTGTATATGTGCCACCTCTTCTTTATCCATTCATCTGTCGATGGACACTTAGGTTACTTCCATGTCCTGGCTATTGTAAATAGAGCTGCAATGAACATTTTGGTACATGACTCCTTTTGAATTATGGTTTTCTCAGGGTATATGCCCAGTAGTGGGATTGCTGGGTCATAGGGTAGTTCTATTTTTAGTTTTTTAAGGAACCTCCATACTGTTCTCCATAGTGGCTGTATCAATTTACATTCCTACCAACAGTGCAAGAGGGTTCCCTTTTCTCCACACCCTCTCCAGCATTTACTGTTTGTAGATTTTTGGATGATGGCCATTCTGACTGGTGTGAAGTGACACCTCATTGTAGTTTTGATTTGCATTTCTCTAATGATTAGTGATGTTGAGCATCCTTTCATGTGTTTGTTGGCAATCTGTATATCTTCTTTGGAGAAATGTCTATTTAGGTCTTCTGCCCATTTCTGGATTGGGTTGTTTGTTTTTTTTTTTGATATTGAGCTGCATGAGATGCTTATAAATTTTGGAGATTAATCCTGTCAGTTGCTTCATTTGCAAATATTTTCTCCCATTCTGAGGGCTGTCTTTTCGTCTTCTTTATGGTTTCCTTTGCTGTGCAAAAGCTTTTAAGTTTCATTAGATCCCATTTGTTTACTTTTGTTTTTATTTCCATTTCCCTAAATGGAGGAGGGTCAAAAGGATGTTGCTGTGATTTATGTCATAGAGTGTTCTGCCTATGTTTTCCTCTAAGAGTTTTATAGTGTCTGGCCTTACATTTAGGTCTTTAATCCATTTTGAGTTTATTTTTGTATATGGTGTTAGGGGGTGTTCTAATTTCATTCTTTTACATGTAGCTGTCCAGTTTTCCCAGCACCACTTATTGAAGAGGCTGTCTTTTCTCCATTGTATATTCTTGCCTCCTTTATCAAAAATAAGGTGACCATATGTGCATGGGTTTATCTCTGGGCTTTCTATCCTGTTCCATTGATCTATAT